CCATCGTACCCACCAGGCTGTCAACTTCTCGTGGGAGTCAATCCTTGAAAATATCATGTTCCATAGGCTAGAGAGCATAAATAAATGTTTCCAGTTATTCTGAGAACATATAAAGACCTGGGGAGAACGGGCTGTGAGCATGGAGAGCGAAGCAAGACGAGGCATCTAATTCATATTAATGTACTATACATTGCCGGTCTTCTGCTAAATGGGAGTCTAGAGAATTTGAATTGCAATATCTATCAAAAGATAGCCAGAAAAATAGCGAGATCTTTGTCAAAATTCGTTACTGTCGTGAACACGGCAAAAACTTTATTGTCGTTCAAAGGGTAAATTTGAAGAAGAGGGGGGGTAGGTATCTAGGGCTCCCACCAACGCTGCTCAAGCCTTCCCAGACAAGCTCTGCGGGATCTTAGTTGGGAAAGAATCTAGGGAGGTGAAAATAAGAAGTCAATGCTTACGTCTTCACTCTGAAATATTCCTCGAATGTAGACATTACGACGCGGGGCTCTTGAACTGGAGGATGGGCACAATAATTGGCGGCGGGAGTAGTATTGCGCGAGTAACTTCTGATAGTTTAAGGTAACGCAATAATCCCAAGTGGTTGCTGTTGAGCCTTCACTTTCTGCAGTTTTTGTAGGAGTTAGGTCAATCTCCTTTACAGGAACAAACCAACACTCCTTCCGGCCGATGGCGAATCTGTTCCTATTATACAAGGCGAAAACAGCAGAGTTCCCACAGAGGGCGTCGTGAATTCCAATGAGAGGGGAAGAAAATATAGAATCCATTGAGAAGACCAACAACGGTACAAAACGCGGTGCAGAAGTATGCGCCAGGTTTACCGCAAATTGAGACGTACGGCATTGTTTTACGGTCGATGCCCTGACATACCAGTGACGTGTGGAACCGACGATACGAAAGCAGGCACAAAATCCAAGAGGAATAGGCGGCTATATTGATCATATTAACAAACCAATTGAACACCATGCCTGCACTAAAGCTGGCGCTCAGGTACGCCAATAGCGTAATGGAGAGCAGCTGGTCAAGCGAAGTAAGAGACATGCAGCGATTCGATATTTGTGGCGAATATCCTGCCACGGCCAGAGAATAGATGGGGCCAGAAGCCAAGTACATGAAATGCTACCAGAAGAATACGCGGCGCACAAGATAACAGTATCCACGATGTAGTCAAGCACCTTGATGCCTGCATGCTTGATTCCAACAACAAAAGGAGAAGCTCCCGCTGCAGCGCTGCCAGATGTGAGTTCGGGTATGTTGGACGGGTAGGGTAAAGTAACCGCTAGGATACGAAGTAAAGAGAACAGGATGAGATGAACGATGAATGTTTTGGCGACCACGGGTAGCGTCCTTCGATGGTTCCTTGTTTTGTCGCTGGTGGGTCCCGGAACTGAATAATGAGGTTCGCCATATTCACCTCAAAAGGAAAAAGAAGTGCATATGCATACCAGTAATTCCAAAACAACACAAAACCAACCGATTTCGGGAGAAAATCTGTCAAGTAGAATTCCGGAGACGCCCCACGAGAAAGGATATATGCTGCGATTTTGAGCAGCAGCAATATGAAAAACAAGGTCCAAACAAAGGAACAGATAGCGATGGATGTAGCTAGAGTCATCGTCAGACCTCCTCTGGCCAAGGTTCGTCCAGGGCCCACCAAATAGGCCGTGACAATGCACCCCTGGACGATATCTGTCACGTCGTTAAGCGATTTATTTGAGGGTTTGAATAATAAAGACTTGCTGTTTACCTCCAATTGAAATCATGTAAAGATCCTTCGCCTTAAGCCAGACCAAATCCCTTTTCGTTGGAGGCATCTCCGTGCCATTTTCAACCATTCACGTTCCATCGATCCCCAATCTCTCTCACCAGTAGGTTTTTTTTTTTTTTTGTTTGAGGGGGGGGGGGGTTAGTTCCATAAGACGTTGCACCCTTTGGAGACGCATCAGCGACATGTCTCTCTAAACTTCTCGATCCCTTGAGGGGCTGTGATAGCTCCAATCGTGGTAGAAAAGTCAGAGCCATGACCCACGCGAGGCTTCTGCGTAGCCTTGAGCAGCTTCTGCGCAAATTTGTGCGGGCGGGCGAACAAGTCTGTCCAGCGGTGCGCCACTTGAGTAACCATGAGTGCGACTACTGCTTGATCAGAATCCGAAAATCCGCATCACTGAATGGACAATTACCACCAAGC